TTACTAGCCGGATCAGATCTAGTAAAAGCTGAGACTTTATAAAAATATTTTAGCGAAGTTCACACTATATGTATTGTTAAAAAAAACTTGTCGTAATCACACCGAGATACCAGCCATAGAACCTGTGCAAGTGACTGATGAAACTGTTTTTCTATAGATCACTGACCCCAAACATTGTAGGATAATGGGCCCTTAAGAGTTAAATCCACGACCACTGTCATCGTTTGAAAACATTATTTAGAGAACACTCGCGACACTCTTCAACATGTTTCTTCCACCCGCTCGACTCCCTAGAGATTGGAAAGATGCTATAGTCAGTCCTATATTTAAGGATACACAGATACAGATCGCATTTACTTATCGACCTGTCAGTTTAATCAGCACAGTCATTAAGTTACTTAAAAAGATAATTAGGGTTAAGTTACTATGTCACATAGATTCGTACGATTCGTTAACTTCCGAGGAACTCGGGTTACGGAGCAAGCACTCATCCTTGAATTATTGTCTGAGGAAGAGGATTGTACAGCAGCCCTAGATAACGGTCTGTCTGTCAAAGTGATATGTGTAAACTTGAGCAAAGCGTTTGAGAAAATTTCATGCTTAGGTTCAATGAAGAAGCTCTCGAGCATCGGTTTAGTAGGTGTTGTACAGGAATAGATAGTAAACTTCCCACTTCACTGCAGACAGAGACTAAGGGTCAATGGAAGGCTATCTGAAGGGAAGCCCGTCAAAAGTAGCGTATCCCAAGGCATCATCTCATGTTATCTACTTTTCCTTTTCTACGCCAATTAAATGTCACTACTGACTAAGTAGTCGACATAATTGTTTTCAGATGACGTCAATATCTGAAGAACAATAAGAACTGAGGCTCGTCATTTCGGTTTACAGGCTGACATGGACAAATTATTTAGATGGGTTCGATGTTGGGGCTCAGAATTTAATTCTTGGATGGATGTGCTCTTGCACATAGGACACGGTAACAGTTGCCAGTATAGTGTTGATGGTACATCTCTTCCATGCGTGCAGGAACATAAAGACTTAGAGATAATAGTAAGTCACGACTTGAAAGCAACTACTTATCGTAACACCGCAGTTATCAAAGGGTTTCGCGCTATATAGTCACATCACCGAGAACTCAAATGCTTTGACAAGCAGATATGTCAAACACTGTATGCCACCTGTGAAGACCACACATAGAGCACTGGTCCCAAGCAACTAAATCATGTTCTATTAAAAATACTAACTCACTTGAACGTGTGTAAACAAAATTAGTGGAGGGTCTTTTTAAACTCCTTCACGAAGAGCGCTTATGAACCTTTTCGCCTTGCCGTATAGTAGGACGCGAGATGACTTTATATTGGCATTTCGTATCCTTAATTGCCATTAGGGTGCTAATGTGTCTAATTATCTTGCTCTCACAAGAATTATTATTCTCGAAGGTCATAGCAAGAAGGTTCACAAACCGCGACCTAATAAACCTAAAGTGGTTTTCCGTTGTACTCATCGAGTGGTCGATGACTGAAACGCCTAACCCGAACAATTGGTATCAGCACCATCAGTGAACATTTTCAAGGAGAAGTTGGACTTTCACTGGGTGGCAAACTGTCACACAAGTCCGTCAACTTACTATCCTTATTACTGAAGAAGTGAAACATACTAGGGAGAAAACTAAAGACATATAATGGACAACTGGTAAATTGTATTTAAAATACAGGAGTCTCCCTCAAATAACTTAAGTCTGTACAATAAACACCTATATACGAAACTAACTTGTTTATCTATTCCAATGAAGTAACTTCTGTCCTCACATAGCAACACAGTTTTGAGTTGTGTGCAAATATGTGTAGGATAAAATATGCAACAGACGTTGAGAAATCAGTCATAACAAATAATTTTGAAGCGCGTGGCTGGACAGTTGTGCATCCTGATGAGGACTGGAATATTTTCTGGGCTTCTGTTCAAAGTATACGCATGCTCTTTAACAATGACACATCATATAGATTATCAGATAACCAGGTTTTTTCGATATTAAATTGCGCTAACTAGTTTAGATTGTAAACCACTTCCCAAACCATTTTGAACTTACCAGAAAAGATCTAATGGTCAGAAATATTAAAAGGTACAGACGTGAATTGGAGAGGGAGGGAAACCCGTTGGCTGTAAAAGATGATACTGGGAAATATTTATTCTTGGATTTTATACCAGTCTCTTATATGCTGCCACAGGATTATAACCTATTTGCAGAGGAGTTTAAACGTAATCCTTCTTCTACATGGATAATGAAGCCTAGTGGAAAAGCCCGTGGAGTCGGTATTTTTCTGATAAACAGACTTTCCCAACTTAAGCGATGGTCTAGAGATGGGAAATCTGGTTTAATTGGTACGACACCAACTTGTAGAGATTCTTATGTTATATCAAGGTATATTGAAAACCCACTTTTAATTGGAGGTAAGAAGTTTGACCTGCGCCTTTATGTACTTGTTACTTCGTTCAAGCCTCTCAAGATATACGTGTATAAGCTAGGGTTCTGCAGGTTTTGCACAGTTAGATATAATTCAGATGTTAGTGAGCTAGATAATATGTTTGTTCACCTAACTAACGTTTCAATACAGAAGCACGGAGTTCACTATAACAGTATTCATGGTGGTAAATGGACAACAGAGAATTTTCGCTTATGGTTGCAGGGAACAAAAGGAAAACCCGTCTCCGACAAGCTATTTGATGAGATTCATTGGATAATAGTACATTCCCTGAAAGCAGTCGCAAATGTGATGATAAACGACAGACACTGCTTTGAATGTTACGGTTACGACATAATAATTGATGACAATTTTAAGCCATGGCTTGTGGAGGTAAATGCATCTCCATCTCTGTCAGCTACAACGGCTAGTGACCGCATTTTAAAATACAAATTAGTAAACGACGTTATTAATATTGTTGTACCTAACGGAACAGTTCCAGACGTCAAATCTAATAAAAATGTCACTAAAGAACAAATGGGACAGTTTGACCTACTTTACGACGAGGAAAAGGCATTAGAAGAATCACCTGCAGGTACGAATGCTAAACCACAAAAACAACATTCAAGTTCCTCTGGAAACATTCCTAGTAATTCTTCTCAAACTGGACTAAAAGGAAAACGTGAAAGTCGAATGAGCAAACAAAGAGATTCTTCTACTAAGTGAGCTGTAATAAAAAATAGTATGTGTACTAAGCAGAGTTCTACATTCGTCCTTATTTACTGGCACACTACTATTGGTCTCAAACTTCAAAATATCAAAAGAAACCTAAGGATTCAAAATAACCTTTATAGAAATGGAATTATACTATGAATTCTTACTGCTAAGGTAAGACTCGTTTAATTAGAGTTGATATGGATGTTGAATTTCATCTATTGAAAATCGCTACTACTCAATAAAACTGCTAGAATACTAAAATCTTTTAATTCCAGAACTGAGATATGTTTATGTATTATGTATGTATAGACAAGTCACGAACTCCAATAATAATAATGATTTCAGAAATTTATGAAACTGGTCAGATAGTGTACAATCGTATATTTGAAGTCAGTGATATACATTAAAGAGGACACAAAATTAAATTCAAAAGGCAATCTGTCATACTGAACATTTCGACTCAAGCTTAATATCACCTCTCATGAACGTCAACAGGTAAATTATTAGGAAGTTCCAAAACACTTAACAGATGCCTCTTATTGAATTCAAAATGTGAGGTAAACTAAATCCAGATAAGTGAACAAAGATATATTTAGAGTTTTATGTAGTAAATTTGGAGAAATACTATGATGACTGTCTAGAAGTGAGAGGTTTTAGCTAATTTATAAACCGCTTTGAAACACGATAAAGAAAGAATTAGTCACGTATGTAAAATGCGTGTGTTTAGGATTTAATACGGTAGGTTTATATAATGCTCCCTGTAAAACATAGTTTGGTCCACAAAATAAACAAATTTAGTAGTTCTTACATATAAATAATATCAGTTGTAAGAGTATATATTAGACATCTGGTAGTAAGGTTTAAGCATCTGTCTCAATAAAGTGACACATTGTTTCTCTAAAGATAATAGGAACATCAGTTATTTAACCCCATACTACGTCTATAGGAGTATATACCTTGATAGGTGAGACATATAAATAGGGATGGAGGATTACATTAAGCATTTACATCTACTACTACTTTCAGTCGCGTAACAATCATGAACCACTGCCGCTCTCATGCGAGGCAAATTGCGTAGGTACACCTGTATTCCCAATGTTGGTATATTTTGAAGTTAGTCACTACCGCTAGTGTTACTTCCAACTACTTGACAGTCTGGAGTTCGACTTCCCTCAAAGTTTTTTTCAATATGGGAAGACTATTAAAACATCTGAAAGTTGGGCAACTTCTGATTTATCAATAATCTTTACTTTTCAATAATAGAGACTAGACAGAAATATTAATGCTTTATAGTTTCTTTACGGACACAAACCGAGTCTTCGGTGTCTTTAACATTTCCATTCAAAAGTACTGTGAGAATTTGAATACTTAGGGTGTATTCAACCTCAATGGAATAAAAATATATAACAGAAGCAATGCGAACTATCGACCTGAGTTTCTGTTGGTGCAAACGTTCCCTCAAATCTGCAGGAAAACCCTCTTAATGAGCCTCAATAAATAGAAACATGTCCAACAATACAGAGATTCTCCTCAGTCTTATAATGAACTAAACTAACCAGCTAATCAATGCTACAAACCTGGAGTACGAAAAGCACAAAGGGTTATATACAATAAAATTAGTTACTATTTCTTGACTAATAATAACTTAGGTCTATGACTTCATAGCTAAGTGAAGTTCTCGGATGTATAGTGAGAAAATTAAAGAGTTTTCTGATTCATAACTTAAAAAGACAAGTGATTATTCTATAGAACTTCATGACATACAACAAAAGTGTGATGAACGTTGAGTAGATTATAATAAACAAGGTAAAAATGCATACAAAATTAGTTTTGCCACTTTTTAGTAACTTTAAAGGCTGGCCCATGACCTGGAACAATGTAGTCAAAGTTATCGATAATGAATTCTCGGCTTTTTTGTTGTATGCTTATATTGTTACTAGACGAATGCCACAAAGATGGATCAATAGTATCTTGCTCGCATTCAAACAAGTCACCCACTATGGCAACACGACCGAATTGATCAATATCCTCCACAATTACTGATATGTCTGATAAAGTGTGCCCAGGTGTAGATATTATGTGAATAAAGGAGTCGATCTCATAAGGCGTTTTGAGGATACTGAAGCAATCTTTAAGACCTTGAACTTCAAAATTCTCTCCCACAATCCGAGTAGAGTTTGGGAAGATATGTAAGCTTCCAATATGATCGACGTGATCATGTGTACAAATAACAAAATCAATATCACAAGGATTTACTCCACGAGACGAGAGCTGTGAAAGAAGCCATTGCGAATCCCATGGACTACCAGGGTCAACAAGAATCAATTTAGGTCCTTTTAGTAATGATATTGTACAGGCAGAACTAAAGTAGTGATCTGAAATACGCCTTGTCCACCCAATACGAATAAAGTCAATCGAGTATTTCATTGAATATGTGATGAATGACTATAGAGAGATGCATTAGAAATAAAATAAATCCAATTTTGATCACAGTTCACCAAATTTAATCTGATGCATAGGGCTAAAATTCAAGGGATAAAGAAAGGTTTATTGTAATTATAGTTATTATAAATATGTGCTTACAATAAAGAAAATACATACCAAAGAATGATGGAGAGACGTTAACTTAGTCGCATTGATTAAAAATTTCACTTAGAAAGTAAAAGCATATGCAAACATTAAGGGGAAGACACAGTAAACAAAGTATATGTTAACAGTGGTCCTGTCTGTCAAACATGCTCACCAAAGTAGGTTTTGTGGAGGTTCGTATGCGTTATACACTTAATGAAAGCAAACAAATGAATGAATTTTGAATAAATTGGATTGTTACAAATAAATTAATATATTTGTAATATCCCAATGAGTAGAAAAATTAGATTTTTATTCTCTGAAGAAGTGGCTTACACTAAGTCGCGAAACGCCAGAAAATCTAATTTTTCTACTCATTGGGATATTACAAATATATTAATTTATTTATAAAATTAATGAATTGTTTACAAATGAGTTTGATACAAAGAAAAAGAATACGGCATTGAAAATCTATTACTTAATAGCATCTCATGAACAAAGCAAAAACGAAAGTAGAATATGTGTCGTTAGGTTTGTGTCTGTTTAAGATTATGTTAACAGACAAATTTTCTGACCTTATAAGCGATTAACTAATATCACCTCTACATACATTTCGTTTAAACAGGCAGCTAATCTCAATACATTACATATGATTATTCTGTGACAATGACGAATATACATCACCGATAGACATTATTAAGATAGCTAGAGTAAAACACGCCTATACCTTAATATCCGACAGATAAGCATTTAGTCGTTATCCCCATTAAAATCTGTAAGCCATCAGTTATTCTACCTGTTGAAAAACATAGAATTTATAAACCAATATTTACACTTTAATCTAACAGCGAGTAATCTTAGCGACCAAGACCATGAATTGACGTAGTTATGTTCAGCTTTTTATAATCACTTCTACTACAATTAACATGTTAGTTCAAAGTTGACGGTAATCAGGGAAACTCAACTGAGGTCTAAAGCCTCGTGAAGCGACTTACTACATTTAACAACTATACAGAGCCTGACAACTGTATTGAAGATTGCACGGTTCGGCTATATACAAACAATATTCAGAAGGTATGTATAATCAAATACATGAGACCTATTAACGTCATATGATGCATGCGAAAGGTAACATGCTACGTGGGATTTGAAAAACAAACCCGAAAGATCCTTAGATTTTAGCTGTGTTTGGAATCCTCCATGTTCTTTCGGTACCTTCAATGAGATTTAATGTGTCGTCTGTGTACTTTGGGTCGGCCAGACAACACCTCAGGCAGAAGCCTAAACGGAAAAGTCAAAGAGTTAAGTCTGTGTTTATTAAATTGTTGACCAATGATAGTGAACGCTGTTAGTTGATATAACTCGTTAGCTTAGTTGTCAACACTCCACAAACTGTTATAGAATTATATGAATAAGAATACAGTACCGTTGGACATATAGTATATTCACTTCCGAACTTGTGTTAGACACCACAATACGGTCTGATGGAGTCGGTCAACGGTGGTTTAGTGGTTAAGGTGCCAAACTGTCAGTCCTATGTTCGAACTCCGCTCTGTCTACTTTGGTCTGGGCGACCTAGTAGCATTACTAACAATCACAATTCAAATGTGGATCATACTCAATAAATGAGTGTATCCGGTTAAAGAGAATTTACTAAACTTATTGTATTTTTTGTTTTAGAATCAAGTAAAAATATGACCGATGAATATTAGTGTCTGAAACCGACTTGCTTTCATGAACTTGTCATCACCGACCTTCAGTTCTGTAGGGCTTTTAATCGAATTGATTTTGTGCTCACTAGGGAACGATTCATAATGATGACCAATAATCGAAAATAATCAGTAAAAATAATTCTGAATTGCCGTACCACAGCTTATACCTCGGTTAGTCAAGCTAATAATTTCTGACGGCTATATTTGGAGAACTATGAAATCCAAGCCCCCTAGTTGTGGCACTTCACTGTTTCAGATCCATCACGGCCTCAAATAGTTTTATAAATGTGAGAGAAGCAACTTTAACGTATTAATCACATTTCAGTCAGATCATGCGTGACAGAAGCATTGGATTACATTAGTTAAAGTGTTCCCTGGAATGTTCCAAATAAACTTCCAGCTTTACATGGTAAGTTTACAAGTGAAACATTTTCTCCATTGATAGCCCAACCACCATGATATTCCAGCCAGGGACTTTTTCAGATCAAAATTAATTACAATCATTACAGCAAGCAAATTTGGAACTGTATTGCGAATATATTATAGGCTTGATCGTTCATACTCTAGGTTAAACATAAACCAGCCTCGCCTAGTGAATGGTGTGAGATGAAGAGAAATGGCTTTATATGATAAGGCGTGTATCCATTAAGTGTTGAGTTCCCATTGTATGAATAATTTCCACTAAAAATCTATCATAAATGCTTGCCGCGATGAGTGATGATAAAGAAATGAGGAAAAGTGTCACTTCGTACTTCTTTCTTCTTACTACCACTATTATTTATTTTTACAAGTAACTCCTACTGACATTCTTATAAACTCTAAGGCAGTGATTTTATAGCAACGAGATGAGATAGTTTCCTTAATAAACAGAAAATAGTAAAAGCAGGAATTTTATTCATTAAGTCTCTGGCAACGTATTCTATAACTCATTTATACTCAGCAAAGAATAAACAGACATACCAACGTAAAACAAACACAAAGCAGTCCCACCATTTGAGATCTATTACAGTACAGGAAAAATACAACTAAAAATGGGAAGACAATACAATGAATAAGGTAACGATGTTTCTCAAAATTTATGTGATCAGAAAATATTAAGTATTTTTCGAAATACATTAGTTTATTTAACTTATTGTAGTGAGTGAAAAAACAAGCAGTAGCTCATTATTATTCAAATATGTCAGGAACATCGATAAGGCATATGATCATAAGACTTTAAATATGAAATGTTTGTGATACTTTATATAAAGAAGGTTTATCTACTTGTTTTCATACATAATAACTGAATGCAAACTCTTGTTGTAAGCTAAGAATTCTTTCAAACTCCACTGGACCAATCAGAATGTTTGAATTTCACCACCTTTTGAAACTAGAATACGTATAAATCCAAAATCCTAGTCATTAAATAAGGCAGTAAGATAAAGAAAATTACATTAAGGAAAATCGAGACAACCTAGTATTCCAGTATGATTTTCGTAATTTTTTATTGGTGGACTGTTACGAAAAGTGAATGCAATACAATAAGCGATAGAAGTATAATTTATATTCGCTTTAATAAAGTCGTTAGATTTTTGTGCATAAATTGTGTTTAGGTCGAAATTCTTTGATTGCAAGACCATCCAAAAGATAAGTACACAATATTAAGCTTGAATTCTACAAACAGTATCCCGATGGCCCCATTTCAAACCCTCCTAACTAATAGCTGGTAAGCACACAAACATAATAATTCTCTGCAAAACTTAGCTGCCAGTTGATCTACTCTATGAGGAACAATGCTAAAAGACATAACAGCGGGTAACCTTGACGATGTTGATCGTACTAACATTTACCAGTTTTTTAAATAGGTTCCTGGAGAATGGGGACAACAATCCAGCCTTTCCAAGTGTCAGTCACTCACAACGTAGAACTTCGTACGTACGTACATCAGTTCGAGTTGCCATACCACATTAGCACAGAGATGCAGTTGTCGATTCAAATCCCATAGTGGTAGAAGTAGTAGGAGTATAATCAGAAATCCAAAAGATTAGGGTTTGAAGAAATTATTGAAGGAGTATAGTACAGTGAAATAAATTTGGAAAGAGAAAAAGATAAAGACATGAGGAATTCAGAAGATCAGAATTTGGTAGAACACAAAGAGTGGATGCATCTTCGCCATTGCAAACGATTTTGAGCCATGTCATTCAAGGTCTCTAATCATCGGTTGCTGTCATCTCGCGAATCCCAACCAGGTAGTCTACACCTACCCAACATGGCCCAGTCCACTTGTCAGTGACTTCATTGATTTGTGCCACGTTTTGGTCTGGCCACCCCTAGCTTTCTTCCAACCTACTCCTACACCATGAAACATTGCACGTCGGTGGTCGGGCATACGTAACACATGTCCCAGCCATCTCAACTGATGAAGTTTCACCTTACTAGCGGATATCACTGCTGTTTCCACAGCTTTTCGGATGTCATTCCACGCTGCCTCGGGGTGGACACAACTTACATGGCTGCCTAACTGTTTTTCTAGTTGTTCCTGAAATATATTCTTAGCTTGCCTATCATTAAGTAGAACCCTTAGGGGCTTCCCTGCAGTGTCTTTCCTACGACCAGTAAGACGCAGACAGATACGTGCTCGCACTAGAGCATGATCTGAATCTAAACATGTGCCCCAGAATGAGCGACAGTCTTCTATCGAGCCCCTCCATCGGTGGCTGATAGCGATGTGATCTAATTGGGTCCAACGCTGGGACGAATTCGGGGGTCGCCATGTCAAAAGATGTTTTTCCTTATGCTTAAAGTTAGTATTTGCAAGAAATAGGCGGTTATCTGAGCATAGCTGCAACAGACGGTCGCCATTATCTGTTCTTTTCGCCATGACACTATAAGATCCACCCAGGTGTCTTTCCCTTTCGCTTAGTTTACCTACTTGAGCATTAAAGTCACCTGCTACTATTACTACATCAGAACGCCTAGCTTCTCGGAGAAGGTCAGAAAGTTTCCTGTAGAACTCATCCTTTATATCGTCTGAGCTGCAGTCAGTGGGAGAGTAGGCAGAGACGACGAAGAGGCAACGACGAGTTTCTCTATCTTTCCGGGTCCTTACTGATCCGTTTAGTCGGACAGCGCATAGACGACTGTCTACTGGGATCCAGTCTAAAAGAGCTAGTTCAGCCCTAGGACTTAATGCTATACCTACTCCAGCGAGGCCACGGGAAGCAGCGTCAGGGCTTCCAGATACACGAAGCGTGTATCGAGATGAAACTTTATTTTGATTAGGTGCGGTCAAATGAATGACACTACTCGGATCTTGTATGCGCGTTTCGGAGACGCAGCACACATCGATGGTGTAAGATTCTAGAGTCCTAGCTAAGGAAGCCTGTTGTCCTATTTGGCACAATGTTCGGACATTAAAAGTTTCTATATGTAGTTTAGAGTGTGGTTTCAGGAGACCAGGAATAACGTTCTGTGTACTCGAATCGTTTTCCCTAGCGGAGCGAGGTGATAAAAGGACGTGGGAAGGGTTAGTCGTGGAGACAACAGAGTTATTAGGTGTAGGAAGGATTTGAAAGCGACCAACTTGGTCTTGTGTGCAGTTAAGGGTATGAGGGCTAGTATCACTTCCAGGCTGCCCACACCGTGGAAGGGTATTTCTTGAGGGACCTGAAAAAGAAGTTGGATTAGTGTTGGTCTTAACGACCTGGGAGCGTGACCGCAGTGCCCAAGGGACATCTGCTTGAGGCCGGTCACGCACGGCCTTTTTGTGGGGGATTTTTGACGTGTTAGCTCCGTTCTTCAAAAGTCCTTACCGCCGGAGACGGAAATCCGTGGGATAAGGCGAGGTGTGCATTTTTAGGGTCGACCTTTTCTAACCCCACCCCTTTCCAAGTGTAAAAATGTGTTACGCTCTGAGACAGATCTCCAAGAGCAACGAAATCAACATTATCAGTCAACAAGCGTAGAAGTTTGGAGTCTATGTGACTTGGATAATCCTATCCTCAAGCAGATAGTCAGTGATAAGCTGTTTAGAGTTTTAACGGCTTCAAGTGTAGTGAATTCAGTTAGTTGGCTGCATTCGTAATTCGATGAATTTTTTTTGCGAATTTAGAATTCGTACCAAAATACATGATCTGTAAGGACTAGCTTTTGCCATGTCAGTAGAACGTTAGTGCATTTATTAAATGGGACTGAAACAAAAGAAATATAAAACATCAAAATTATCTGTGTTTCTGTGAAAGATATTGGGAATATGATAAATGGGAAAGCCGAACGTTTAGGGAAGAATGAGAAAACAGAAAATTCAGATAACTCAGCTAGTAACGCACTAACCTGTCAATTCACTTTGTTTTCAGAAAGTGGAAGCCAGTTCGTAGTTATGATTATACTTCAGAGAAAACTACCAGTTTGGTAGGCATGGTTAATGTAACGCGACATAAGCAATATCCAAGGAATATCAAGAAAAAAGCAATTGAAAGCGCGTCATGACAGAGAATCGGTAAAATATACAATGGGGAACTTTGAAACAACCCACGTGGTCATGAGCAACCGATGAACTGACTTATGACAAGCACAGTGCGCTTGACCAGGTTCTATTTGATACAACCAAAAGTCGACTTAGGGTGATGATAATTAAATAGTACGAATAGATCCATCTAATAAACTTATAGAGCTATGAAACGCTATTTTGCGCTAATAAGTGTTATCAGAATGGTATTTTGGAAAGGAAAAAATCTGAATCTCTGCTTGTTTCCACTAACCGTTGCGTCCGAACAAGCACAAATGACTGACCATTTACGCGTAAGGTCAACTCTGATCACATTACACTTAGGCCGATGAAGTTTTTAGGAGCAGTGTCAAAACCAGTTTCTCAACAGACAACTACCATCATCAGCGAACCACATATCTTGAATATTAGCCAAACGGTGCCTTTGCTTTTGACCATAAGCCTCCTCAAACTTCTTAGAACTGTGCCTCATTTACGGCCAGTGACATACGTCAACAGCTGGGCACGGGATAAAAGCCGGATCCTTTCAAAGTGGTCCGCCGTTCCGTTTCAGCGACCTTGAACGGCCTGAAAAGATGCTGTCAATTGCTGAGGGTCTATTGAGTTGCACGAATATTAGATTTTCTCATATGTAAGTAGTCTTTTTCTGCAGCGAAACCACAAAATCATTGCGAAGAACATTGATTTAGCCCTCTCTGTCTTAAAGAGCACACGGGCCGATTGTTGCTTCATAACTACCCGATCTCCCCATTTCGAGGAACATTTTACCTAGTTTGGGCAAACTTCGGGAATGATTTTAATCAAGGGCGTCCTGTTCTATTTTTCTGGGTGCAAAAAGAATTGCGATCAAATGTAACCTGGATCGTGGATAAATTGTGACATGCTGGTGTCCTTGCCGTCTTTTGCCACTGGCATACTTAAGAAGACGAACTCTTACACGTAAGCTCGATCAATTTCAAAATATATACTGTACAGTTCATCGTATTCTTAGACATCGCAGTCGATGGAAGACAAATAACACTCACACCTTCCATAATAACAACAATTTCGCGCGCTATTTAAAAAGGACAGTGGTATTTTTCCCCGTTGAGTAAATTCTATTGTTTTGATCGTTATTAACGTATCAAGACTACTGTTTTTATACTTTGATTGAATTTCTTTCAGTTAAAGTATTCTATTAGATTATCATCTTTGGTATCCTAAATAGTTTTATCGTCGGTACTCCAGAGTACCTTTGTTTTTCTATTGTGTCTGTTAGTACTTTGGTCCTAACTATTTATAGTTTTTTTTCTACTTGTAGTCAACACTCACCTTCGCATCCTAAAATGACTGGAAGATGCAACAAAAGCATTTGCCACCGCCCAGGATGTCGATATCCTTTTGATAGCGGCATGCAGTGCGATGAGTGCAAAGGTTGGTACCACGATGTTTGCACGAATCTAACACCTGCAGCTTTCAAACGGTTCAGTAAAAATGGGTGCGTATGGCTATGTCAACAGTGCTGTTTGGATGCAAATAGCCTGTTAACCGAGGCCATCTCAATAGTATATGCCGCAAAAAGTGTCTCGGCAAGCCCGGTCGGGATACATCAGTCAGAACTCAATCTGTCGACACGCAGATTGACACAAGGCAGGCCCAAGTGAGTCCAAAAACTGCCGACCCACACTCTACTAAGAAGGAAGAACATCCTCCAAAGAGTACTGTTACAACCAGAAACTCGCGCAAAAAAGTCTCTTCTGTCCCTCGTATCAAAAATGGTACCCAGAAGGGAACTTCCGGAAGCCGAAACCGCAAGGCTCGATCGGTTTCCAGCGCGAAAGATGACCCAATCTCCCAAATCGTCCTGAATCTTCCGGAATCCCACAGTACGCCTGACGCGACTGTGGTTACCACTCCAAAGAACGTTGGCGATTGGGTACGGGTCGTAAGAAAAAAACGCCAAAATGACGTAAAAGGAAATCATACCCCCACCAAAAGAGTCTACAAGCCGAGGTCTGATCACAGCGACAGATCAGTCATTCTCCATAGAGTCAAGGAGAGTGACAACTTAGAACCGAAAGCCCGTTTTGAGCATGATATTGTGTTGATAAAACAACTACTCAACCAAGTTATGCCCAAAAACATCCCCGGAGTCACCTTGCTAAAGGTGTATAGACTAGGAAATCTAGCGCATCTGAAACCAAATCAGTCTAGACTACTCAAAGTCGTTTTCAAATCCCCAAACGAACGCGGCTTAATCTTAGAAAATGGACACAAATTAAAGGGTTCAGAAGTTTTTCTCCGCAAGGACTTACCGTTGGCAGACCGTGTTAAAAGACGGGAAGCCGAAAAGGAACTACAGCTCAGATTAGACGCTGGCGAAAAAGACCTGAAAATTGTAAATTTTCGGGTTGTGAGGCTTCGACAGAGGGTGATGCCGAAGCCACTCTGGGTGAAGCACGAGGCCACCTAAATAGGCTTCGGATCTGTTATACCAATTCCCGGAGCTTACTGAATAAGCTACAGGAACTAGGTGTACAGATTGACTCAACTAGGCCAGACATAATCGCAGTCACAGAAACATGGTTGACGCCGTCTATAGATAGTAGGGAACTTGATTTCGAGGGTTTTACATTAGTAAGGGCCGATAGAATACAAACGCGTAAAGGAGGGGGAGTAGCTCTATTCATTAGGAATGCTATTCCATTCACCATTTTCGACGGTGTATCCCATGAGAGTGGGACGTATGAATTAGTTTGCTGCCGCCTGAAATGCGGGGGACAAGAGTTGCTACTTAGTTTGATCTATCGCAGTCCAAGCTGTGAGGTAAACGAGGTCCTGCTAAGCAGTCTCAACACTTTATCACGAAGTGATCGATGTCTAATCCTAGGGGACTTTAATGCACCCAAGGTGGACTGGGGAAATCTGCGGACTGAATCGTCAGCAAACTCCTTCGAACAGGAACTAGTTGATGCGGTAATCACATGTGCCCTAGTGCAACACGTGAAGGAAGCAACTAGGTACGACCCGGGTTCTGCATCATCCTTACTAGATCATATATTGACTCATTATGAGGATGATGTTGCAAACCTGGATTACATGCCACCCCTAGGCAAAAGTGATCATGCAGTTTTAAGCTTTGACTTCCATATAACTGTCGATCGCGAGTACGCTTCAGCTCAATCCAGACCTAACGTCTGGAAAGCATACATACCAGACATCATGAAATCAGCATCATTAGTAGATTGGAAATTAGACCCAGAGTCATCAATGGAAACGGCTTGGGACGTATTCCGGAATTTATACTTAAAAGTTACCACCCCCCCACATCCCTTGGACTACACCTAAGAAACCGAGAAACTCCCCACCGTGGTTCAGTAGGGAGGTTCGCATCCTTTTCCGTAAAAGAAGGAAAATGTGGGACAGATTTAGGTTACTGGGGACTGACGAGGCAAAATCTCAGTATCGAAAGGCTCGAAATACCTGTGCCTCGACCCTCCGTAAGGCCAGAAAGCTGTACGAAGAGAAAATCGTTAGGGAATCCATAGAATGCCCTAAACGCTTGTATTCGTATATAAACCAAAGGACAAAAAGACGAAGAAATGTTCCTTCACTATGGGGAGAGAGTACTGCCACATCACTAGTGGAGGACGACTTTGGCAAAGCTCAAGTATTCTCTAAATACTTTAGCAATGTATACACCATAGAAACACCCTTCTCACCAGTCCATGAAAATCCCCACACACAAGCACTGGACAGCGTAACCATTAAAGAACTCGATATCTTTGGTCTGCTAGTTAAGCTTGACATACGTAAATCCACTGGACCCGATGAACTGCATCCTAGGTTACTAAAGGAATTAGCTAACTTTGTTGCGAACCCTTTAAGTGTATGTTTTAATCTATCCGTAACCCAGGTTCGTCTACCAAAAGACTGGAAGAACGCCATAGTAAGTCCAGTCTTCAAAACAGGTACAAAACATAAGCCTGAGAATTACCGACCAATTAGCCTAACTAGTGTGGTTGTTAAAATCTTAGAAAAGATTATTCGGAAGGAACTGTTAAAGTACCTCGATGAAAACCGGATCCTCTCGGAGAAGCGGTATGGTTTTAGAACTGGTTACTCTTGTCTCACAAACTTATTAAACGCTCGTGAAAGCTAGTGCGCTCTTAAGGACCAAAAATTACCTATAGACGTAGCTTACATCGATTTCAGCAAAGCTTTCGACAAAGTTCCGCATAACCGGCTGTTATATAAGCTAAGGAATGTCGGGATTGGAGGCAATCTATTGATGTGGATAAAAGACTTCCTAGTTGGGAGTCAACAAAGAGTAAGGGTGAACTCCAAGTTGTCTAGCTGGGAAACTGTGCTTAGTGGAGTCCCCCAGGGTACAGTTTTGGGGCCAGTGTTATTCCTCCTGTACGTAAATGATCTCCCTCGTCTACTATCGTCATCGGTCTTACTCTATGCTGATGATGCCAAGATATGGAGAGCGATACAAAGCAAGGGCGATAGCTTAGAACTTCAAAATGATCTGGAGAGATTATCTGAATGGTCCCAAACCTGGCAATTGCCGATAAACACTTCCAAGTGTATTGTGATGCATATTGGCCACCAGGGTACAGATACATAGACGATGAATAACGCTGAGTTACCTATTGTTCAGGCACACAATGGCTTAGGCGTCATCGTTAGTCAAGACTTAAAGACTACTGAACACTGCCGTGCAATAGCCGCCAAAGGTTCTAGAACTTTATGGTCCAAACGCAGGGCTTTTAGGCATCTCGATGCTAAAACGTTTCTGACTTTGTATACAGTGTTCGTAGGCCTAAACTTGAGTACTGTATACAAGCAGCTGGCCCTTGCCTAATAAAAGGACAGTGAACTCTTGGAAAGGGTTCAGAGAACAGCAACTAGGCTGATTCCCGGAATAGCGAAGCTCCCGTATGGTACTAGACTGACCAAGCTAAACCTATTCTCGCTGTCATATAGAAGAATCAGAGGCGACTTGATTACAGTTTTCAAATTGCTTAATGACAAATTTGCACCTGATATGCCCTCATTTTTCTTGTCTTCCAAAACAGAAAATCTACGAGGACACTCCAAAAAAGTTCACAAGCCCAGAACGAATTACTTGTCAGCTGACTACCGACCTTCCCATCGAATAATCAACGAGTGGAATTCATTACCTCAGCACGTGGTTGAGGCTCTATCCGTCGACTCCTTCAAAAGAAAGTTGGATCAGCTGAGAGACCATCATTGCCAGGACTAACACAGGCCATCAAGCCTACTGTCCTTTCCAAACTGAAACTGAAACAGACGAAGCAAACAGTATATACATATTCAACGAAGCCAATTTTTACTTGAGAATCATCAATAAGTAGGTAAGACTTGTCTTTGTGTAGTATTCTTTGCGATAGAAAATATGGATCTCAATGCAACACGTGTGGAGACGTGACAGGAACTGTTTACTATAAGAAGTTCTTTGTAGCAGTATTTTTGACTTAACTATATGTCCAACTCGTAAATTGATTTTTCTGCATCAAATGTTGCCGTTTCTATAGCATTAGTAATGATA